GACATATAAAAGTAGATATTGGTTCGCTAATGGTAGCCGTGCTATCAAGCGCTTGTAGGCGCCAACGACCTCCTCTTGGTTAAATGGCTTTTTGGCTTTGGACAGGAGGCGTTCCGGTGGTAACGTCAGTCATGCGCCTGCTGATTTCGCAAATTACGAAACAGCAGCCCGACTTACAATAAGCATTCCGAAACTATAAAATATGGGAGAACACGAATTAGTATGGCCGACTCCATTTTGGGAAAATGGGCACTGACGTCGTGATAGAGCGCATTTGGAATAACCGGCTCCTGGGTGCATGCAACGGAAAATACAGTTAGCTATGTTCTCACCCACAGACAGACAGACGCCCCCGTCTCTCGGATGGAGGGAGGCGTATGTATGGCCGGTCGGGGACGGTGAGTAACCCTCACTCACAGGCATGGATGTAAGAAACCGCCGGAAGACAGAAGCGACATCGTGAGGTGTAAAAGCGTGCTCTTCCCATTGGATGTTCTTGCCATACCGAGGCGGTGTCTCAAAAATCGTTTGAAGCTCTCGCATCCGTCTACTGGAACCGTTTATTCGGAATATACCTTCCACTTCCGTCCCTGGAGAGAGGTGGGAAATAAGTGTGTAAGAGATTGAAACCGCCTCGGGTGTGTGTTCCGCATACCTTTTTGCTTCAGGAAGAGACCGCTGTAAGTAGCGAGAGAAGGAATCGTTAGCAGCACGTATCATGTCAACACAAGGCAAGTAAAGACGCTAGCTAGCAGCAGAGTAGGATAAAGAGAAGGACTGGCCGCCACATACCATTTGGCGACAACAACCGGAATATAGCCCCAGACGTACAGCTCACTACAAATCCATACCATCAGCTAGTCTTCATGTGAGTGTAACCAAGTAATAACGAACTTGTTCTGGTTTGCTGTGGATATTTGGACACTCGCGTAACGTAGACTGTCACGAAGTGGGACACCAAATACGCCGCCTTTTTGACGTATCCGTAGTAGAAACAAGGAGAAACCAGAGAAATTTTGAGAGGAAAGAGGAGAATTTACGAGGAATGTTAGCCAAGGGTTGCGGGCCTGGCCCCAGGTATGCACAGGGCGGAAGTGGAGACTTGCCTGATGATGATGGCTTGGGGAATTTCTGAACGAGTGTAAACTGCTTCCACCATGCCTTGAGAGACGCTGCAGATGGTGGCGACGTTGGCGGAGAGGGCGGCATCAGGCTGCAAGAACAAGGACAGAGGTACGGGTTCAAGCTGCTGCTGGACTCGTCGAAGGGGTCGCGTGGGGTCAACCGGTACGCTGCCTAACCACAAACCACAAGAAGTATCCCTCGATATCATTTGGATTTACGCCGAAGAGACTGCCCATGATTTCTCTCTACTTTTCCTCGGGACAGCGAATATGGCGTAGTACCCTACGAGCGAGTAATGTGCAGTTAAATGCTCCACGGAATACCTGCACAAACGTCTGTGGTTAATTCTCAATAGGCGTCAATGCTATACCATTCAGCTATCGGTTATCCCGGTAAGACTCTGGTGCTTCAGTGGCCAGGCCACTCCTGACCCTCCTGCAGGTTTACACGAGTCATTCAACAACAATAATCGCTCAAGCTTACTTCACGCTCGTGGATATCTAGATCTATACTAGGTATGATTAAAGACTGCATTACTGTGAATATACGACAAGAAGACAAGACCATCAAACCGATACCGGTCTTATACACCCATAATGGCCTCCAGGGCAAGGTCAATGGGATCAAAGACTTCTTCGTCTGGTAATCCAATAGGAACCTGGATGGTGGCATCCATGACACCCATGCGACCCTTCGCGAAGAACTTCTCAGGCGAAACGCAAGAGTTGAGAGCACGTCTCATAGCTTCCGTGATGAAAGTGAGACCAACTTGGTATGCAGCTATGGTTGAAGAGAGCCTCAGAGCAACGCTAGAGTATCAGAACGGGCCTTACCATTCATCCACCCGAATCCCTCTCTCGGAATCATCTTAAAGTCGACTCCTTGATTACCATATTCGGCATCCACCATGTGAGAAAGTTTTACTGCATCAAACTAGTAGTAGATTAGCAATCACTTCATAGATCTGATAAGCCATAGGCTATCACCTTTTCTGGCACGACCCCATTGAAATCGACAAAAGCGGTTGTCATCATATATAACCAACGGTAAGCAAGCCGTTGCGCGTCCTCTAAACGTCCGTATCGTTCGAATCCGACCCAGGCCATAATCTGATGTGGAGGCCAGGCATAGCTATCAAACGTTGAGACTTGGGGGTAATTGATCCATAGAACACCTACGGGAAATCCCACTGCCGATTAGGTCGATCAAGAGAAATAGGACCACGAGACTCCTCTGTTCCAGACACCAGCCCACCAATCACTTCGAACTTGGACAGGCCAGTAGCCCTGATAAATTTATGTTAGTACTCAGGTGATTCTAGCGACTGGTACCTACATGACATCAAATGCCTGTTGCTCTGAGGCACACCCTGCCCACAATGCCCAAAAGGCGGTAACAGTCTCGTAAGGAATTTGTGCCCCCGCAACGGTATCATAGTCGAAATAGAGCTTCTTTCCCTCGTTCCACAGGTACTTGTTGATCCTTTCTTCTCTCAATTGACTGCGCTTGACCCACTCCTCCTTGGTCTGCTTCCTACTCAAGCTACGCTCAAAGCCTGACTTGTTCGCTGCTTCGAATGCCTCTTTGGAAGGGGGGAACGGAGACAAGTTGAAATCTTCCTCTAGATCCAACTCTCCTCCCAGGATATCTATGGCAGTGGCAATATCAACTTCGTACTTGAAGAGCAAGGCATTGAGATCAATCGTGGCGAGATATGCGCATTTTTTCTCGAATCGATACGTCGTATCGTGACCTGATTCACGAACGGCACGATCATGGACAAAGTATTCGTCGAGGTCGGGTTCACGAAGCCTCCCATCGTTGTACGCCTCGGTGAATTCTAGAATAGAAACACCATGCTTCGCTGCATATGGTTCGAGGATATGAGTAAAGTGGCTAGCTTCCGTCTCTGGAGGTATCCCAAGGCCGTCAGGGTGATAACGCGATAAACCAGTAACGGGGTCCAAACGAGGAGGAACCATCCATATTGTGTGATACTCTTTAATAGCCGCTCGCATGGCCCGCTTGAGCCATGTGTTTGCTGCTTCGACTTCCTTGGGCGTGCTCTTCTGCAGCTGATTATAGATTTGAAGGGTCATATCTGTCAAGAAAGGTGGTTGAGTGCGGCACAGATACTGTTGAGTTGTCAGTGAATAACTAAACAATGGAAGCGGAGTGAGAGCTACTGACATAGCTTCGAGAACCATTTAGGATCTAAGGTGACATATAAGCCTACGTTACACACACCATATGGAAACGCTTACTTTATTATAGTGTTTGATCTCAAAGACAAAGTGTTCGACCATCCCTTTCGCCATTTCAACTTGCCCATCGACGATCAGTCCCAAAGCGATAAAGTAGGAGTCCCAATTGTACAACTTCAGTCGAATCAGTGTGATATTATGATATCGGAATTAGCACATACCTCGTTGAATCGAGCACCGGGTACAATGAAAGGAATTCCTTTCAGTGCTTTTCCACCCATATCGTCATCTACTTCCTCCATCGCAAGTGCAAGTAAGCCCGGCTTGTCGTTGAGACTTTTGACAAATGCTGGGTCGTCGCATTCCTTGGGCAGGCGAATAACTTCCAATCGCAGATGGGGCCGCTGTTTTGCCACCGCCTTGTAATATTCGAACATCTTCATTTCACTATATGGGACATAAATGCGAGGGGTCAAGTGACCAGTCCGGTTCTTTGGATCGGCGCAGATGATTTCAAGACCGTCACCATCAATACGGCGAGTTAAAGAGCGCCAGAAGGAGGTGGCAATCATGCGGCTGAGACGGTCGACTGGTGGTTCGCTGAGTCTCTCTTCGTCCAACACAATCCGCGTTCTGCCATGATCACGAGCAATAGCCAACTCTTGCACAAGATTGGAGAGCATATAGTTACCCTGCAATAAGGTTGAGGCGGCGAATCATACCCGGGTTAGAAATACTTGCGCGAATGTCAAAGGTTTTGACTCCATTACTGGTTGCAGTTCCGAGAGTGATTAACTTTGGACCGGAATCCGTGACACTGATCTGTATAGAATGAGCGAAAAGAGAAGTTTCAGGAGGAGAAGCCCGTGCCTGAAAGTCGCCGTCGGTATCTTCTTGTTGGAGGACAATCCGCAGAGTCTCGTCGACGTCGACAATAAACCGACGACTATTCTTGGTTTGAGGATCTACGTAATTTATCAGATAAGAAGGAGATGTAGCCTAGTGGGTATATAAACCATGTGACATTCGACGTTTACGCCTGTTCATTTCGAGCGTGTTGCTCTTTCGGGTCAGGGGGTCTGCTTGGCTCTGGGAAAGATGGATTTATCATTATAGTCGAAAAAAGAACCACTATACTCACTGTGGAGTTGGTCCTGACTTTCTTCGAGCTTGCATGCTGCGTATCCCTGGAATAGAACTGGTCGGGATGAACTACACCAGCTCTTGTCCCGCGAGACTGCAGTAGCATTTGCCTATTACGACTAGATGCCATCTTATCCAAAGTCTAAAGGTCGTGTTTCTGGGTCACGTAGGATTCGATCTCGATCAGAGAGGCAAATTGGGGATCTAAATACTGGCCAAGGATCGCAAGCGATACGGAGCGGCGCGTGACGATGCGATAAGTCTACGATGGTCACGAGGGCTGCGATCAATGGTAATGGTCGCTTCAGTCCACCTAGACGGCTGGCGGTCGTGGTCGGTTCCAAGCAAGCGAGTGAGTGGCTGAAACTGACCGTGTACCGACCTCTAGCCAAATGAGCTTCAACAAAATAAGATAGGTGTCTCTAATAGCCAGGACCTGTTTATCGCCTCTCCAAAACGTTTGTCTCATGCAGACTTCTCAACTTCCAAAATAAGTCATGGAGTTGCTTTTCGGAATAAAACAACCGTTGCCGCTTACCCGAGTTGAACGAGTGATCTTCGCATCTCATACAAGTGCGACGCCTTAACCACTTGGCCAAAGCGGCTTACGAACAAGCACCAGTTGTCAAGTCAATATGATACTCGTGTGAAGTAGATATATATATATATATATATATTGAGACAGAAAAAATTTGATTCCAATCATATTTACCATAAGAGACGGCATACACTTGTCCAAGTTACTCTAATGCTCAACATTAGTAGGTGGAAACGGTCGTTCGTTTGTTGGGATAACGCGCGGGTTACCAGTCATCGTCGTCCGTATTTGCAAGTCTATGTCAGACATGGTCTTGTGCCAACCTTTAATTGAACATGCCTTCATAGGTTGGACCCCCCGTAATGATCCACATAATTTACGAACAATCTATGCAGACCGTCCTAGCCGTCGACATCAGGAAGTCGTTATTCTAGGAAGCAATTATCAAGTATGGAGGCTTAGAAAGGTCCGAATTTTTTCATTCTAATCATATTTACCATAGGAAAAGTCATACGTTTGTCAAAGTTACTCTAATGCTCAACATTAGGAAGTGGAAACGATTATTCGTTTGTGAGATAACGCGCGGATCACCAGTCATCGTCATCAGTATTGTAGTTTGTAACCCTCCTGACGCCACCTTCTCTCGCACTATCGTAGTCTTCCGAATCTTCTGTCAACGAAGCTGAAGCCAAAGATGGACTCGAAACTGCTCCGGTACCCGTAACCACCTCGTATTCAGATGAGCTCGACCAGTTCAGTGTCTCAGGTGGGTCTTGGGAGCCAACACTACTCGCCGTTTCCCACTCTGAGACACTAGCACTAGTTGGGGGTCTACTGTCGGTTTGATTGGTCGAAGATTCTGTGTCTGACGCATCTGGCGTGTCCATTTCATTCTCCAGCTCAGAATGGCTTGCCTGTGGGCTATGACTACTAGGAGTTACTGCAGTTGATCCATCTATGGGTTGTGGGTCGGATTCGGATTCGGATTCGAGGGCCATGTAGTCCCCACTAGTGCATGCCTCGTTCCTCGTAGTTGAAACTTCCGACGGAACCGACTGGACTTTTTGTGAATAGCCTTTCCATCGACAGACAACGCTGCGCAGTCTCCCAGATGGAAACCCGTCTTGTGTTTTGCTCGGCTCCTGTTTGTCACCTCGTTGTGCCATGAGCTGTCTCAAGTCCTTTTCCCAATCTCCTTCGACATACGGCACTTGCATTAACAACGTAAGCTCTTCCAACTGAGGACAGCATAGGAACGGCCTCTGAGGGTATTTCTGACCCAGAGGGAAGACGTAGCCTCTGTCCGTCAAGCGCTCTACAAGCTCTTGCCTCCATTGAATGATATCTTCCGCCGGGCGATTGTGTGGAACAGTGACCACCAGTTTGCGAAGGGCCATTGATTGCCTGAGAAAGTCGACAAGGGATACAATGTCGAGGGAGACGGACAAAACAGCCGTATCGATATACATGCAGCTCCATTTGTCTCCTTGGAGGGTGAACAGATGTTCATACTGAGGCTTCGAAGGGGGTGGTGGCGGCGGTGGTAGCATAGATTGTTGGAAGTGGTCTTCATCCTCTCTTATTTCATAGTTTGAGCCCCAATTTGATCTCAGGGGGGCACGTGGAGGGTTGTCCCGGTAGTTGACAAGTCGAATAGGTTGCGGGCTGGTCCAAAGGGGTATATCATTGTTATATGGCATAGAGGACGATGAAGGGACCACAAGTACATCTCGAGGTGTGACCGAAGATAAGCTATTGCCAGTTATTGCAGCGGGGGTCGATTTCTCTGATGGTAAACAGCCATCGTCCTTGTCCACCTTCAATTCCTCTACTACAAGGTTCTCAAGGCTCCCCACACACACTTGGGCCAACACATTCATAGAATGGGACGTGAGAGTCAATTTGATGACTGTGGGTAGAAGAATTGCTGGACGACAGTCGTCCACATTACGGAATCCTCGACAATCACTGAGCTGGCAGTGTTCGACGCGAAGGTACAAGAGATTTGGAAGAGAGAGCTTCTCTATGGTATCAGCATCCCAAGTATGGAGATCAAGGGAGACGATATGACTGTAGTGATATTTACGTATCGCTACATTCGCACCCAACTTGGATGCTTGTCTCCACTCTGATGAGCCGGAGGATGACAAGAGGGCGTCTCTGATAAACTGAGCAGAGCCTCCTATGGATGCCACCCTCTGACCAAAGAAGCCGAACTGGGACGCCGTGCTAAGGAAGTCGGCGTTGATATACAGCGTCTTGAACTCTTCAGTGGTGTTGAAGGATATGCAATCGTAGAGAGGCTCGTATGGGTCGGACGACATGGCTATCGAATCTCCCCTCCTCTCCTCGATCCTTAGTTCTCGGAGCTTGGGAAAGGAACGTCCGCAAAACAGGTCATAGACCATATTAGCGGACGGTCCGGTGTTTCCAATGATGAGGTGTAGGGACTGCCAACGCTCTGGGGGCGCCTTCGCGATGAGTTCGACGAGCTGACCTGAGTCGACACATTCTAGACGGATATCGAATGTTGGACATGCTTCATAGTCTATTACTCCGCCTGACCCAAGTACATGTAGTGTAATCGATGAGTACCAGCTCCCACCGTCTGAGAGCTCGATTCGGGACCAGAGGGGGGGAGTAGTTAACGCGATGGTGCGCCATGACTTGCAAGCATTCAGGAGGGAGTACCGAGTATAGTTGGAGTCAGTTGAGGCCTGGATGAAGATTGTCTGGATAAGGTGTCGAGGTAGGGGGCGAAGACCTTGAATTTCGTCCTGTGCATAATAATGCGGCTTCTTTGGAGAGCCTGGCTGGGCCTATAGATGTATCCAGGATTCATCAACAAAAGGGACCTCATGATGGAGCAAAAAAGAGGAAAAATCGAGGAAAACGTGGCACTCACCTCAAGGACGCCACCGACGAGACTCGGTAGGCCTTCACCGTCTGCGAAAGCATTACGGGATACACTCAGCCAAACGGGACTCTTTGAGCTCATCGTGGTCAGAGACAACTGTGGATGTCAGTCTCGAGAGGGCTCCTCTGTTCATCCAGGTCGGCGTCTCTCTTTTCGCGCCCACGTCCACCAATCCGGATTTTGGGAATCTTTGCGCCCAACCCAGCGAATGCTTCTTTTAAAATGTGTAACTCGAATTTCATATTAGAACTGATTAAAAAACTGAGCAATTCTCAGCGCACTTTTGTTAGGAAGAGTCGGTACGGAAGGACCCGAGCTGCTTCCATTCTCTACCATGGCTCGCTATCGAGATCCATACAGTCAAGCATGATCTTATCAAATGTTTCACCAATCTGGCTCGCAATGGCCCTCTGTTTCGGCAAGGTGAGCATCTTGAAGGATCGTAACAAGCTCCCATCAAGAATGCCTTTGGATAAGGAACGTCCAGCGCCAGAGGAACCACTCTGTCCAGACCTACGGAACGAGGTAAGTGTTCGTTCTTAACTCGGATAAGGAGCCCGACCTGTAGCTTCTTGGATTCAAACCAGCCATGTGTTGTACATGCCGCACCAGTTGGCCCTGAAGTAAGGAGAGCCTCTTGAAAGCATCAGGGCTGAGAGAGTCCAAGATTGATACAGCACCGTCTAGTTGTACAACAACTATTCGAGACGTATCTAGCATCATCGAAGTGTTAAATGTATCATATTTGGCGACGCGGATCAAACTAGACGACTTGCTATGAGTCTGGAACTCGACTGGACAGAGGAGTAAGGCGCCTTCGTCGGTTTCCATGTCTATAGCGACCAGCATCAGTTATGTCCTGAAAAACCTTTCATGGACGCACGTGTGGGATCGTAAAGGTGCAGCCGTAGTGTACCGTTTATATCCATCGTTACAAGTTCCAGATCATTACCAGCAAAGAAGAACTCCCCATCTAATAAGCACAGCTGCCGGGTGTCGCGAGATAGAATGATTAATTTGAAGGGATCCTCCTACTATAAGGTAAGATTACTGTATCGGATATCAACACTACTTGCCTGGAAAGCCACAAACCAGACGCTCTTCACAACGTCCGTGATCATCAAGAAATTCTTGAGGCAGCGGACGGATGTAACATACGTCCCAGCATCGAGAAAAGCGACCCCAACCAGGCGTTCGTTTAGATCGAAAGCTCGGACAAAAATCTAACCAAAGTAAGTAACGGTGAGTGTGAGGCGTCGAACTCACCTTTTGTCCCATTGAAGAAACAAGGTAGCCATTGATCTCACAAAGGGCTGTGACGGGTCCTTTTGCCTCCTCTTTGCAAAGTAGCTTCAGTTTATGTTTACGCTTCCCTTTTGCTTCCGTGTCTTGGACCACTTCCGCCACATCGAATATATATGTCTGCCAAAAAAATAAGTACTACTCTAGCGGGGATGAGGCGTGCACGTACCCCACCACGAACGGCAAGATCTTCACCTCTGTGGATGCTAGTTCCTACGGCGATGAAGTCTTTGTTTCCAGCTGAAGTACTCAAGGTCTCTAGCCGGACTACCTCGAGTGCATTCACGACTTCATTGGTGCCAAACTCATAGCTGCCATGGTTCAGCACAAGGTTTGGTGGAATGAAAATACCTTACCCGTCAATGGTGGCCCAGCTGGCTGGATCGATTAACTCTAGAGCAACAGCGCCCAGAACAGGGTATGAAACGTTCGGTGCTGTCATGAAATGAGACTAACACAGCTCTTGTAGTGACATATTTCTTACCGTCTCGTTCCCAGACGTTAGTTCCTTCGTCGTCATATAAAACAAAGTCCTGGTCAGCACATGATACAGCAACGATGAGTCCAGTAGTACTATCGGAGGCAATATTTGAGTATGTGCGCCCCTTTCTGATTCGCTCAAAGGCGAAATGGCCATGAAACGAAAGGTCCCCAATCCATTCGACAAGACTGGTACCCTATATATGAAGCGTTCATCACTAATGATATCATAACTTGGATAAAACCGCTTCACCTCCTCTGTACTCATTAAGAATGTTGGAGTATTGTCCCACATTGAACACGATGTGAATGCATAGACCACCGTGTAGTCGGAGTGCATAAACATAACATCGGTCTTATCTCCTTTC